TTCCAGAAAACAAACTTCTGAAAGTTGCTACATTGTCTTTTGAAATTATTATTAAATTCCTCCTGGCAGCCTTCTTCCTAGCCACTGCTTTTCCTATGAAGGCTTCTTGACTTCTGATGTCTCTAACTTAGAACAAGGAACTGGCTTTGTGCTTTTTCCACTTTTTTGAAGAATCGGTGTTGGCACAGTCATGATGACCAATTCAAGCTCCCTCCTGTGTGCTTTAAATGAAGGGGATCCAGGGTTCCTTTCTACTTGCTCTGTCTCTGTGTAGCCCCAGGGAGAACAATACCCCCATGTTATCCTGGGATAGAGAAAACACCCTGGTCTCTCTCACCACACTGGCTAACACCTTCTAGAATAAGGCAGTCATTTCGGGGACACATCTCCTACAACTGGCTAATATTTTTGTTTGGACTGGCTGCTGTTGCTAGTATATTTTCTGCAAGTGAACCTGAGTCCGCAGTCAAGCAAACCTGCTCTGAATGCAAGAAAATAAACCATCTCGTATAAAATTGGTGAGACACCATCTATACTCCCTCTCAGACGTGGGAACACCAGCTCTCACGCCTGGGAATAACATATAGGGCCTGTTTGATGAAGTGATTTAATCTGTTGCTTCTCACACCATTGGATAAACCTCATGCAACCACATGTCCAGTCTGTCTTATGCAAAATGGCTTTGTCCAGTCTTTCTTACTGTGGTAAAAGGATGGGAGGGAGGAACTGGGGCTTTTAAAAGCTCCTTTCCCCTGCTTTTTGAAGGTGACTATACTTACAGTGCACTTGGTTTTACATATGCTGAAGCAGAGACTTGGAGAGAGAATAGAAATGTGAAGAACTAAACTCATTTGGAATGGCCCATTGTTTTGAGTCTTAATTGAAAATGAGCATCGTTTCAACAACAGACACCAGAAGCTTACCCAAGCGTTCAGTGCAGCAGGTTAACAAATGAGGCTCATTTGGCATCTGAAGCCCCATTCTGTAGAACAGGAAACTGAGCTCATTGCATACGACTGTTCCTTGCTTACTGGGCAGGTACGTTAGCTTTGGCTGCAGCAGAGAAGTTTACTGATGTGCTGCCTGGCATGTCAGTGACACACTTGTTCACTCCCCCTCAGAAAAAAGTGCTGAGACAGGTCACATGAAGGATTTACTGTCATCCCGGAGCATCTCCTTGCCTGTGGGCACCTTAGCACCAGCATTGCCCCCCCAATTCCTCTCTCAAGGGCTCCAAGACAGGCTCTCTTGGATCAATAAACCAGCCCTAAGGCAAAGTAGCATTACAAGACATAGTGCCAATAACATGTAATAGGAGTCCCAAAACATGGTGCATTGTTCACTCCCCCTTCATGTAGGCTTCAAATCTCACAACAGAGAGTCCATCAGCCTAGCTCATACCATGCCTAGAGGTCTTGCGCCAGACAGCCACTCCTTCCAGCTCCTCACCAGCGCACTCCTGGGAATTCCTCCTCCGACACCCTGTTCCATTAGCCATTCATTTCAGACAGGTCCATGGGGAGGCTTCGCTCTCAGCCCTGCAGCACGGAGAGGTCAGCAGGTAAAGTCTCCCCCTTGTACATCCCTTCAGCTCAAGATCAGCTAGCAAATGCCCTTGCCAAGCCTTTGTAACACCAACATACCCTGGTGCTCTGCAGGCAGAATCAAACCTGGGACTGCTGGAGCCAGGTGCATGAGCCTCTGCCCATGAGCTAAAAGCCAGCTAAGGCTGTAGAGCAGACTCATTATTTTCTCTGTAAGTGGTCTCAGTGCTATTAGAGGGGATAATGCACCATACACAGAAGGGCTGCATCTAGACTGGCAAGTTTTTCCGCAAAAGCAGGTGCTTTTGCGGAAAAGCTTGCCAGCTGTCTACACTGGCCGCTTGAATTGGCGCAAGAACACTGACGATCTAATGTAAGATTGTCAGTGTTCTTCCGCAAATACTATGCTGCTCCCGTTCAGTCAAAAGATCTTTTCCGGAAATGCTTTTGTGCAAAAGGGCCAGTGTAGACAGCTGAAAACTATTTTGCGCAAAACAGACCTGATGGTGAAAATGACGATCGGGGCTCTCTTGCACAAAACCGCATCTAGATTGGCACGGACGCTTTTCCGCAAAACCAATCTAGACGCTCTTTTCCGCAAATGCTTTTAACGGAAAAACTTTTCCATTAAAAGCATTTGCGGAAAATCATGCCAGTCTAGACGTAGCCAAAGTGTTTAAGCTACATCTTGCTTTCTCTTGCCTTGCCAGCTTGGCTTATCATGGCTAACACCTCCTTCAGGATTTTCCCACAACTCTAATTCTCCCTAGTACTTTATAGTCCCCTGCGCTGCATTCCATTCTTAGGCAAGGTCTATACTAGACCTGGAAGGTCAGGTTAAGTCAAGATATGCAACTCCAGTGACATAAAATACATAGCTGGAGTCAACATTCCTTAAGCTGATCTTGGCACCATCTTCACAGTGGGAGGCCGATGGGAGCAAACACTCCCATTGGCTTACCTTACTTCTTGCAACTGCAAGTAGTACCAGCGTCAACTGAAACCACCCTTGGTGTTTGATTTAGTGGGTCTTAATTAGACCAGCTAAATAGAACACCAGAAGATTGATCTCCAGTGTGGCAAGTGGAGACATGGCCTTAGCTAGACAAACTGGGAGACTCTACACTGACATGGAGGAGAAGGGAATGGGTTGGACCTGTTTTATTTATTTTATGTGACATTCTAAGAACCAGATAAAGTAAATGAATCTATCAGCAATGTAAAGAACTGGTTCAGCCTAAACTGTTCCAGTTTGAAATACTTTGCACCAGTGTGGACACAGTCAAGCTGAAACAGCCCCGCTGGTCTTCTCCTTTTGAAATCTCCAAAAATCCATGAGTTCTGGGAGCCATGCCAGGAAGTGTAGGACAGATTTCTGGAGGGCCTGTAGATTGAAGTGATTTTGAGCTGCACTGATGCAAATAAGGGGCAACTCGCAATACTTCTTAAAGGGATTCAGCATGGCGGGTGTGGATAATGTAATCAGATTCATTTGTTTCATTACAACAGATGACAGAGTTTGAGCAAAGTTCACGCTTTCCCCTGCATTCTGTGATGTGATGTGTGAAGAGACCTTCCCCCCTCCCCCCCACACACACATAGTTTGCCATTTATAACAACCCTTCCACACGGCCATTTGTGATTTGCTAATTAAAAAAAAAAATCCAAGGATGCAAAGTTAAGTTCAAAGATTTCTTTATTAAAATACTTTTTCCAAATTCACTGCAATAACATTTGGGGTTGGTGAAGGGAGAGGGCAGGTTGGTGGGATGCTAGAATGTATATTTGCCAACAGAGATGAACTAACAAGCCTTGTGAAAGGTTTAAATGTTTTAGGATACAAACAACCTTTTCCTAGGGAAAAATAAATTAATAAGGTATTAGTCAGTAAGAGACTAAAGAGTGTAAGTTTGGTGGGGGGCAAAACAAACAAACAAACCCTTTGCTCTCAAAGGAGGTATATAACTTTTCTGTTTCAGAGCTTTTAATACAGAGTTTCAAGCAGTAAATATACATATATATGTGAATCCCCTCCCCATTCTCTGTAAGAATGACTTATATCCTCATTGGTTTAATTATTTTAAATACTAATTGCCATTTGAAATGAGAGCTTTCTTATCTATGCCCCTGATCCCATGATTGAATTTGCAGTGATACACGGGAACAGACTGCAGGATTGGAACCCACTTTACAGTCTGAAAAACCCCCTAAGTTTGGAGTTTTTGTTAGTTTGTATTTTCTTTGCAACAATAAACCTGATATACTGTAGAGATAAGTTAGGGACAGGTTTGAGGTTACAACCAAATAAGCTTCTGAACTTCATTAAAGTTTGTGGATGGGATTTGATTATGGGTTTAGCTTCAAGCCCAAATCTGTTGACCTGGGACCCAACATCTGTGATCTATATTTTGTCTAATCTGGACTGCGATGGGCAGTCATTCTTTTGAGAGAGAATAAATATGCCAACCAGTTCAACAAGCATTGAAACATTTAGATAAAAGAAGCAATTTAACAAAGAACAGGGAATATTTGTGTCTCTAGTGATGTATGCAGTTGGTAAAGTTCTGAAACTCTGTACATTATTAAGTTGTAGAAGAGCTCAGAATATACTCTTACTCAGCTGCAATTTACACTCCTAACTCTCCAGAGCAGGATGAATTGGAGGATGAAGAAAAAAAACTCTTTTAAGTGAGAGAAATTAATCATGTGGCAGCCATGTGTCATTGGTTTCCATAGGTACTTTCCCATTTAAATCTTTATTTGTAATTTTTTAAAATTACATGTTTTAGGAATGTCCCTATTGTCCACCCTGAGGAAATGAACATTGAAGAGAGAAGGCTGGCAGGTTCATAAATAAGTGCCAAAGAGCTTTTGAAACAGGCACATCATCTTGCATCTTGTTCTTTTCTCCCAGCAGATGATATTTCCAAAGACGCTTTTAAGTGGCATCTGGAGAACCTTCTATTCTCTATTGGCAATGAGGGAGGGAAAGAAAAAACTATAAGACTAAGTTAAAGAAACTCTTGGATCAATGAAATTGCATAAAGAGATTAAATATAACAACTGTTCCAAGAGCTACACAATCAGCTAAACAATAATCATGCCTCTTCTTCAAGGATAGTCAAACATCTCCATTGTATGGAGAGGAAATGAAGATATCAGAGATGTAGGCTAACATTCAAATCTGCTTTCCTATAGTTAAGCACTTACATCTATATTGGAGGTCTGACTAATAAATAAGTGGATACATTTTCAGTTCTCTAAGTGGGAAGAGAGCTGCAGACGTTTGTCTCCAGGATAGTACATTCTGTATTAGTACAAATGTACACCTGAAAGTACAACACGTCCTGAGTGAGGCTAATTAGTCCACTTTTTCCCCACCAGAACAAAATAAAACAAACAAACAAGTCAAAATGACAGGGGAGAATATGAAGTCAGAATGTACGCCGGCAGCAAATCCAACACAATACCAAATTAGTATTTGGCGAAGTGGCTATCTCATTGTTAAGATATTTCCTTCAATATGTTTTCAGAAACTAGGACCATTAAATAACTTAGAAAGATTGCCAGCTCTGATTCCAGGAAGGAAACCTCCTCCCAGTTCCTCTCTGAGTAATTCAATTAATTTACTCCAGACACTTCCAAGCCGATTTTAGGTTAAAACGAAGAAAGAAAGAAAGAAAGAAAGAAAGAAAGAAAGAAAGAAAGAAAGAAAGAAAGAAAGAAAGAAAGAAAGAAAGAAAGAAAGAAAGAAAGAAAGAAAAGAAAATGCAAAGACACCCATTTCTTTTGCAAACACTTCCTATGGATGAAACTAGATCTAAAATCCTATAGCAGACAAGATAAACAGAAGAGGACAGAAACCCAAAGTTTGTATTTTGTTCTAAATATCCCAAAAGTCCAATGGATCCATGCCCGGGTTACTTTGGTCAGTGCAGGGCATAGACTGCAATTTGATTTTAACCCAGCTAAATAATTCAGGCTTCAATGGGAAAGTATTTATCGAACACACCACTGTCACCGACTTAAATGGGATCAAGCCTTTACTGTGAACGTGTGTAATGTGACAACCCTTTGTTGTCAATGTGTGGCATTTATGACAGCACTGGGCTCACTTGTCTCCTGGCCCCGCATGGTGTGCAGGGAGAAAAACTCTTTATTGCTTTCATTGGATTTGATTTATTCTGACAGTGACACAACTTCGTAGAGGCTGAGGTAGGAATAATGGAGGGGAGAGAGCTCGTTATAAAGCTGTTTTCTTCAGCACAGCAATTCTCAGCTTTGCTTTATGAGTCGCTCACCATTAATGCAGAACCTCATCATTGAATAGGTATATTAGAAGCATTATCTGAATTTGAAGTGGGACTCAAGACCCTAAGGATCAGATTTCAAATCCCCACACTGTGGCTGAGGTCAAAAGGAAGGCATGTACCCCCATCTCTGAAACCCGGACTCCAAATAGGGGTTCAGTCCCACAGTCCTTATTCCTATCTATCTCCCCAATGCATTTTAATAGTGTATTGCCACAAAAATCTCCTGAGATTTGGATTCTGTCCCTGATGATGTCAGATAATGGTCTTCAAGGCCTACTCTCTGACAGGAAACCTGATTATCTTATTGTCCTGAACATGTTTCCTTTAGGATGCCACAGTGTCAGGACTGGAGACGGAAGGCCTCTATCCTCTGAACCTGGGCAGCAACAGCAAGGGCAGTCTCTCCTGCAGCGCGATCATGTCCGCCTCCCCCAAGCACTTCCACAGACCTCTACAGTAGGAAACGGCCTGGAGGGGAAGGTTAAGCCACTTGATCAGGTTATTAGGACTCTGTTTTGCCTTGATGGGTAGAGTCAGCAACTCCCCCTCTGTGGAACTGTTCCTGTGAGGCATGACAGAGCCCGTGCTGCAGGAAAATAAGCTACAGAAGAAAAACACTTCAATAAAACCAGGAGAGAAGACACAGCCAAAGTTTCTCCATCTCTTTTCTCTCCTCGCTTGTATGTTGCCTGAGCAATGTTAAGAAGCAAGGGGGGGAAATAAGGAAATTCACTTTCCGAGCCTCACTGTGGCTCACTTATCTGGAGAAGAGAAAGGAACACTGGATTGTTCCTGCTCAGCAGCCAAAAGAACAAAGGCCAACGCTGCTTTTTATCCAGGGAAAGTCATGCGGGCCGCACGGGACGCTGTAAGGATGAGCAATGGTGATTCAAATAGCTATTTAATCGGGAGACGTTACAGTATTTGACTGCAACAGGGATGCCTGGTGGGGTGTTTCCTGTCCGATAAGAGTATGTCAGAATTTCTGGGAGATGCTTGTGCATAGCAAAAGCGTCATTTCCTGTGACGTGTCTTTAGGCCCATATTCAGGAATTTCGGGGGAGGGGTATGGGTGAGCTTTCTTTTGTAATTGAATGTACACCCGCCGTGGTTCCCTGAGTAAGCAGGGAAATCAGCCCCAGTCTTCCCCTGGCTGGCCAGAGCATGGGGGATGGAGGCTCGGGCAGCATATTGCTCCTGCCTTCCCCTGGCTGGCCGGCACATGCTTACTTGGGGGATGATGTGGAGGTGCTTTTGCACCCTTTGCACCTCCCTTGCATCTGGACCTGATCTTGCTCAACCTCAGGGGTTAACTTTAGTGACAAGTGCACATTATGATCCTGCACATCTTTGGGCTGCCTCTGTGAAGCCCCCAAGGGCATATGGCTGGGGAAAACTCAGGTAAAAGCAGGGTTTTCTTTTGTGTATTGATGAGAAACTAAAAAAGCTTGCGGCAGTCTATTGCATTTTACAGGAGAGCATAATTACTACTCTCCAGTGGCGAACAGGAATTTGTGCACGCACCCACAGAATCCAGCTCCTCTCACATTGCTTGCCAGGAGATGGTAACATTTCAGGGCCTAATTAATTAAAGCCAAAATTATTTACACAAGGTGCTGAGGTGTTTTCTCTGCATCTTGTTCAAGTCCCAAAGCATCCTCAATCTGTCTTCAGGTCAATGGTGTCTAGACCCAGTTTTCGTAATAGAAAAAAATGATCCAAATCATCATCAATAGCACCTTGCATTCAAGGATCTGAGTGCTTTGCAAGCATGCATTAATGAAGCCCCTCAGCACTTTTGTGAGGGAGATATTACCTTTCTTTGGCCCAGCTGTAAAATAGTGATGAATGATTGGGTCAAGCCCAGACAAGACAATGATAATTAATGGGCAGCAGGTTTAAAACAAATAAAAGAAAGTCCTTCACACAGCACATGGTCAATCTGTGGAACTCCTTGCCTGAGGAGGTTGTGAAGGCTAGGACTATACCAGGGGTTAAAAGAGAACTAGATAAATTCATGGAGGTTAAGTCCATTAGTGGCTATTAGCCAGTCTAGGTAAGGAATGGTGTCCCTAGCTTCTGTTTGTCAGAGGGTGGAAATGATGGCAGGAGAGAGTTCGCTTATAAAATTGACCACAGAATCCAGGAGGACTGGCTGTCCATGGGCTCACACTTACTCTCTAGACCTTAAAAGCATTGGGAAATACCTGTGTAAGGCTCAGTTCACATGAGCAGTGAAAGTGTACGTGGAACCTTGCTTTATGTAACCATTATGGATAAAGGTGCAAAGACAGGCCTGAATCCTGCATGCCCAGAATCTTTCACTGAAGTCAAAGGGCACAGAAAATATGCAGGCTTCATTCCGATAGGCAATCCACTGAGAAAGAACTGAGCAATCCACTGAGAAAGAACAACACTTCTTATTCATGTAGGGATGTCAAGGGTTTACCGGTAACAGGCGGCTGGGCTGGAGCAGCGCCCCCCCCGCCTGCAGTGCGGTGAGATGGGCTCAGCCTAGCCAGAACAGCCCCCTGCCTGCATCGGGTAGGGGGCACTCCAGCCCTGCTGGGCCCACCATACTGTGGGCAGGAAGCATTCCAGCCAGCTGGGCCTGACACCCATACTGCAGGCAGGGAGCTGCTCCAATCTCCCCACCTGCCCTCATTCAAACGGTTAACCGATCAAACATAACATTTAACTGATTAACTGATTAAATGGGATTTACATCCCTGCATTCAGCATCATGCCAGCTGTTTGCTGTGGTCACTTCTCTCTACCTTCTCCTGTGTATACTAAGTCCTTATCCCTGGCCCAGATTTAAAAACCAGAGCTCCTCTGTGACACCATGCGGTTGCATTCTTGTAACTGGGAGGAGAACTAGGCTTGATTTATTTTTAGAAAAGAGAGAGGAAAGTAAAACTCCAAACTTTTAAATGACAATGAAAAATAAATCCCATTCGCCTATTAAATCCGCCTGTTTATTGTTACACATTCCATGACCTTCAATGCTCTGCCAATAGACTGTAAATAATACAGAAGGTTTCTAGTGTATCCTATGTGGACTTGAGTGCTGATGGAGGGTGGAGGACCCTGCCTTTCAGGACAAGTCTGCTATAAAAAGTTATCCTCCAGCCACCTCAGTAATTCAGTCACTTTTCCATGTCTGCCCTACACTCCTTACATCAGTGGGGCATGTCCTCAACAGGACAGCTTGCACCAAATTAACTGTCAGCATGGGGTGTTGTGGGACAGCTTCTGAAAGGTAACAATCGGCAATGTAAATAATGCCGTGTCTACACAGGGGTGGGCAATGACAGGCTTGTGGGCCAGATCTGGTTGCCCAGGACTAGTCCCTGGTGAGCCATCACTATATTTACCTGCGTTTCCCACAGGAACAGGTGATTGCAGCTCCTGTTGGCTGTTCCTGGCCAATGGGAGCTGTGGGAAGTGGTGGCCTGGTCCACGCCACTTCCTCCAGCTCCCATTGGCTGGGAACCATGATCTGTGGCCAGCAGGAGCTGCAATCACCTGTACCTGTGAGGCTCACAGCGACAGCGGCCCACCAGGGCTAACCTTAGCAAACTGCTGTCATTTTCTTGCCCACCCGGATCTACATTGACACTGCACTGACCTAACTACATCAACCTGAGCACTATGCCTCTCTCAGAGGTGGAGTTATTAAGTCGGTGGAGAGGGTGAGTGACGTCGGTGGAAGCTACATTTTAGTGTAGATGCTTACGGAGTTAGTTCACGAATGCAACTTACGTTGATCTAAGTATGTAGGGCAGAAGAGGCCTGAATGTGTATGGTGAGCTGCCATAGAGCCTGCTACTGTGATTGTTATTTCAAAGTCTCATTTTTTTTCAGGGTTTTTTAAAGCAAATGCTCCAGAGCCATATAAAATAAGTGGCAAGAAAAACACATGCCCACCCAGGTTTGTGGGAGGGATCTTATGCACACTCCTCTTTTGTAGGCTTCTGCTTAGGGAACCAACGCTGGCCCTGCCAACAGCTGAGACTTCCTCCGGCTTTATCCTAACACATGCCTGTGCTTTACCAGCTACCATTTAGGGTCCCCACCATCTTGTCTAATACTAGGAGGCAATTGGGCCTTCGCAGTCTTCTTCCATTTGTGGCAGTTCCTCCCTTCCCTGAGGGCTACTTGGGATTCCCTCAAGATCCATGAGCTCTCAGTGCTGAGGAATATCAAAGCAGCACAGCAGTCTCTCCAGCTCTTGCCCTGCAGTAGCAGTCTGCCTGCCACTGTGTTTCTAGCAGAGCAGAACAGAAACGAAACAATCCAATGATTTGCTCTTTTTGTTTGTTCCCCTAAGGGAACAGCTCACTCAGCTGTCAAATACTTCCCAGAGCTTTGAAAGGGGAGGAGTGCATCCCTGCAGGGCAGCAGCAATCACAAAACACTGAGCACAGCCATCAGGACAGGTATTGTGGGATACCGATGCAAGCCAGTTCTCTCAGGCTACGTCTAGACTGCAAGCCTCTTTCAAAAAAGAGCGTCTAGACTACAACCAGTACTTTCAAAAAAGCAAGCCATTTTTTCAAAAGAGAGCACCCAGGCAGTCTGTATGCTCTCTTTCAAAAAAGCACAATTTGCATTACATAGTGCCTTTTTTCAAAAGAGCACTTTAGAAAAAAGGCATTATTCCTTGTAAAACGAGGTTTTCCACTGTCGAAATAACTACCATGTTCTTTCAATTTACTTTCGAAAGAACACACCAGCAGTCTAGATGCAGGGGAAGTTTTTTCGAAAAAACTCTGTAGTCTAGACACATCCTCAGAAGCCACACTGGCTCTTTGTTGACAATAAACGGAGGAGAAATGACAAAAGTCTTAGGCTGGAAGATTTTTGTCGCCAAAACTAGGTGTTTTTCCCGACAAAAATCTCATTGTAGTATAAACACTCTTGCTGTTTTGTCACCAAAAGCCAGTTTTTGGTGACAAAACATGCCAGTATAGACAAAGCCTAAGCAGGGACTGAGCAAAAGATCTCAGAATTTAGCATCTGATAGGATCCTTCTCTCTTTTATTCTTGTTAGTTTTATGAGGGCAGGTCTTATCATAGTGTTGTTTTCCTTGTGTGTGTCTCAATTATTTATTAAATAAGATTATAAATCTATTGAAACAAAGACTGTATCTTCCTGTGTGTTTACCCAGTACCCAGCCCATTTTGGGTGCTAACAGAACAGCATTAGGACAAATAATAATCATTACATTATTGAACAGTGTAGGCAGTATTTGATAAATAACATTAATGTAGTTATTATTTCTGAAGTGCTTGTTCTTTGCCTTTTGCATATCAGCAGAGCAAAGTGATCACTCCAGGGAGGCATTTAGCCTCTCGTTTGCTCCGCAAATTGGCTTTTCCTCTGATTAGTTTGGTGTTCCAAGCTATTCACCGTATCATTCCTTGACTGTTCAGGAAATCTGTGCCATGAAGGTTAGTTCGGCTGGGCCTTAACCTCACATGGCATTGCTCCTGTTCCCTGATTGAATGATCATACTAAGGTCAGAATCTGCTTTCTATTAATATTTGTTTAGAATGTCACAATCTTCACCAGCAGTCCTGTCAGTCAACCCATCTTCAAATATCCTTGTTGAAGGTGCTAGATAGCACAGAACAAGAGCACAAGCAGAGCTGATGCAAGTTTCTGCTCAAGCCAATAGTCACAGCCCAGTAATCACCTCACTCTACACCTTAAAAAGAAAAATCATATTGGCATATAGCAAAAATCTTTCAATGTATGAGTGTGTATGAGCATGCACTGATAAAATATATACTTACAGAGTGCCTGTTTCCCCCAGAATCTGCAAAATAAAATATAGTTTAGGAATGGCATGGTACATTTCAAACTGATCCACTTTATATACAAATGAGAATTCTGAGTTAATTGCACTTGGTAATTTTGCAGGGATATAAACTAGTTGGCTGAGAAATTACAAAGTGAAAGTTCAGACCCCAATCCAGCAAAGCACCTAAGTAGATGCTTAGTTTAAGTACAAGAGAAGTCTCATTGATTTCAAAGACTGAATTCAGTAGATCTGTATGTAGCTCTGGCTGACTGTGGCCTACCAGTTGTGACTGGTTTGACAGCAGTTACTCTCCCTCACCTGCTCCACGTGGGGATCAGAAAGGCAAAAGTCTGAGTGACAAAACATTCTCTCCTGAGAATAAGCAGCTGTTGCACATGACAGGAGCTTCCTTTGAGTGGCAAGTTATCTTGAGCAATATATTCTACTTTGCTCTCCTAAAGGATGTGTCTGACAGAGGCTGGATGAGGTAATCATTTTTTATTGGACCAGCTTCTGTTGATGAGAGAGACAAGCTCTTGAGGTAACACAAAGCTTTTCTTCAAGTCTGGGAAACTGACTCTGTCTCAACTAAATACAAGTTGGAACAGATTGTTTGGCGTAAGTAGTTAACGTATATTTCAAGGGACCATTCAAGATGAAGTGGCACTAGAGTCAGTGAGGCATAGGCGCTGACTTCCCCTCTAGCCAGGGGGAGCTCTGGCTCAAATTCCCCCCCTCTGCCCTGGCCACACGCCACCCCTTCCCTCAAGCCCACACCCATGCCCTACCTCTTTCCACCTTGCTTTGCCCTCACCCCGACTTCCTTCCATCCATCCCTTCCCCAAGACCCACCCCACCTCTCCACACCCCTTTCTCCATTCCACCCCATCTCCTAAGGCCCCACCTAGCCTCCTCTCCCAAGCACACCACATCTTAATTTTCTCCCTCCCTTCTGGAGCTCCCAGAACACCACAAAACAACTATTTGCAGCAGGCGGGAGGTGCTAGGAAGAAGTGAAAGGAGCTGGTCAGAGGGGCCACTGTGGGCAAAAGATGCGGGAGGGAGGAGACAGTTTGGCTGATGGTGGGTGCTGAGCACCCGATAAGTTTTCCCCATGGGAGCTCCAGCCCTGGAGCACCCATAGAGTCAAGTGCCTATGTAGGGAGGGGAATGGTTGGAGAATCCTGGAGAAGGGTACAAATGGAAGGATATCCCAAAAAGTTACGCAAGCTTTAATTAATAAAAAGATTCTTTAGCCTGATCCAAAGCCCCTGAAGACAATGGGCATATGTCCATGCAACTTCAGTGGGCTTTGGGTCAAGCTCCTTGTGTTTATTTTTAGTGTAGATTTAATTACTGTCATCTGAAAAAAAAAAAAAACCTTTTGCGTTGGTAAGGAAATGTTCCCTCTCTAAAAAGTGGGTATGCATTGAGGTTAGAAGAGTGACTCTTGTCTTCAGCCATGTCTTCACTTCCCATGCTGGAGATCAATCTTCTTCGATTTAGTGGGTCTAGTTAAAACCTGCTAAATTGAACACGGAGGGTGACCCCAGTCAATGCTGGTACTCATGGCAGTTGCAAGGAGTAAGGGAAGCCAATGGGAGCTAAGTAGATATATATATGATCTCTATTATCAGCATTTTTATTATGTTAAAATTGTAATGGTTTTAATTAACTTTTCATTTATATTCCAGGAGTGATGTCTAAAGAAATCATTGCTTGGGTCTTGTCTTCTTACCGGGCGATCGACATTACAGAGCTCGATCTCCCAGGATTTGATTTAGTGGGTCTAGTAAGAACATGCTAAATCAATCACTGATCGTACTCCTGTCGACTCCACTGAGTCATGAGTAGTAAGGAAGGTCAATAGTAGTTTCTCCCATAAATTTCTCACAGTGGAAACGTGGCGGTAAGACAAACTAAAGTATGTTGACTAGAGCAACACTATTCATGTAGCTCGAGTTGTGTATCTTAGTTGGACTTTGCCACCTGGTGTAGACCTGGCCTCGCTCTTTTCAGTCTTATCAATGGAACTTAGTCAGGGATCTGAGTTTGCCTTAAGTCACTTTTTTTTTATGCCAGTGCAATTCCAATGACTTCAATATGAAATTGGGCTCAATATTCTTATCCTGTCCGAGAGGAGCAAAAGAAAAGATTTTTGGAAAATATGCAAACACTTCTTGATTGCTTCTGGAAGCAGATACGGCTCAAAACAATAATGCCATTTACCCCCGCCAGATCAAAGCCAAACTTGAAATGGACAAAACTAGCTATTTGATTTATGAAACAGCTTATTAAGGAGCATGCACGCAAAGCTTCACTGTGTATTGTGCTCTCACAAAGAAGGAAATTATAAATTTTATATATTTCCCAAACTTCACATGAAAGGATGTTTGCTAATCCTAAACTACTTTGTACTATGTGACAACAGATCACTCACCTTTTTGTAACAGTGTCACACAAGATCAAAAGACAATAACTAATTGGGTTTCTAGCATGGGCGATTGATGCCTGCAGGGTGGGGGGAGATACACGGAGGGCTACCCAGAGGAACAGAAAGGGGGCATGATGGGGCACCCCATTTAGTAATTATTTTTTTGTAGGAGCTTTGGGAGGCAGTTCGCCTCCTGAGCGCTACCACAACGGTTTCTAAGTAAACACTATCTCTTCTGCCAGGTAAATGTCACACACTGCAGTTGTCTGAGGATACCATGTTGGCTGTTAGAGGGTGAAGTGATTTCTGCAATGTTGTGAACCAGGTAAACACAAATATACTGTAATTAAAGTATTGGGCTGCTTACTTAAGTCATGCTTATTGCAATAAGTTATTAATGTTTTACACACTTTTTCCTACTGTAACATTTAATTACATGTACAGTGATTTTTTATCTAAACCAAACTCATTGTTATACTGGGAGATGCTGGTGTTTTTGAAGGAAACAGAGCTAACTCCTATTAAAGGAGGCAGGAAAAGGTGCAGAGACATTCTGGGTTCTGCTCATGTATGGGTAGAGTTGCCAACTTTCTTCCAGAGAAGTGGCAATAAGTTCTGTTATGGGCACCAGGGAATAAGTGACCTGAAGTTACAAATCCTGTGATTACTGAGATATTTGCCAAGTATAAAAGAGGTAATATGCCTCTATGAATTACTAAGGGACTAAACGTGCTTGTTTTTTTCTCACTGATGCATTAGGTTCAAATAATACATTTGCATGGTAGAAGCAAATACTGAATTTGCCACATAGCATGAATGCTGGCCCTGCTTCCAAATATGGCTGCTTGGTATGAGGGAGCATGGATGGCCATTCAAGCAGAGAGAGAGAGATTTGGAGATCTCATATGTATACAGACAGTCCCCGGGTTACGTACAAGATAGGGACTGTAGGTTTGTTCTTAAGTTGAATCTGTATGTAAGTCGGAACTGGCATCCAGATTCAGCCGCTGAATCTGGACACCAGTTCTGACTTACATACAGATTCAACTTAAGAACCCCAGGCATCCCCAAGTCAGCTGCTGCTGAAACTGATCAGCAGTTGATTCCAGGAAGCCCGGGGCAGAGCAACTCTGCCTCGGGCTTCCTGTAGTCAGCCGCTGGGTCAGT